GATGGTGGATTCACCCTCACCTTCGCGAGAGATGGCCCAAGCTACAGACTCTTCAGTCGTCCCGCAAACACATTCAAACCCATCGACCCTCTGTTCGATGAATGTGTTTGCATCCTTAGAGGAGCTAGAGCATGAATGGTCTAGATCAGATCCACTAGCTTCTTGGACGACGTTAGTTAAAGCCCCTAAGAGTGAAATGTTTGTCAGCGAGGTAGTCATAGGAGGCCGCTAGGCCGGGGCCTATTACGACACTTTCTCGACTAGAAACTTTATGAGTCGCGCGTGCGTTGAAAGGTTGCGCTAACAGGGGCAAGTGCAGCGTCTGAGTCGACCCGTGGAGTCGACCTGTGCCAACAAACAGCGTATGGTAGTTAATGACTACCTCCATAATGTAGAGTGTGTTTTTCCGTACGCGGGAGGGGACTTGAGACATCGTGTCTCGTTCCTGGTGAGTGACGAGCTCCCAATGGATATGTTACTAGGTATGTACTACCTCTCTGTAGCACAACCCCAGTTTGACTGGGACCGAAAAGTGGTCAAACACATGTTGTCAGGTGGAGGGAACGCCAGATTACATAAGTTTAAAGCTAGTGGTCTGATTGAGTCTTATGGGTGCATGTGTGCGGCCGCATTCTATAATTATTATAATCAAAATCAGAAGGAGGGTATGTACTTAGTCTATTTCTCTGCTGCAGGCGAACCGGTGAAAATGCCGCCAGAGATAGAGGGAGTAGTTGCTAAGTACCCTGATCTGTTTGAAGAGCCGACAGGGGTTGTTGAGAGGGAGGTCGTCCACGCGATAGAGATTATCCCAGGGTCTAGCATTGCAAGGGGTAGGATCTATCGGATGTCTCCAGGCGAGCTTGATGAGCTTCGCCGCCAACTCAAGGAACTCGTAGAGAAGGGTTGGATCCGGCCGAGTGTCTCTCYTTATGGGTCTCCAGTTTTATTTGTGCCTAAGAAGAAGGAGGAAACTCTAAGGATGTGCATTGACTATAGGGGCGTCAATGCCATCACTGTGAAGAACAGAGAGCCCCTATTCGTTAAGAACTACAGCATAGTGGCCGCTGCTCTGACTGATCTGACCCGCCTTGACACCCCTTGGGATTGGACAGATAAGTGCGAGGCTGCTTTCAGACATCTGAAGCATGCATTGACGCACTATGAAGTCTTGAAACTTCCTGATCCTGACAAGCCATTTATAGTTACAACGGATGCCAGCCAATATGGCATTAGCACCGTGCTTGCGCAGCAGGAGGGGCAAAAGTTGAGGCCAGTAGAGTACATGTCCAAGAAAATACCGTCTCAGAAGTTGGCTAAGTCCACTTATGAGAAGGAACTCTATGCGGTGTACAAGGCACTCACCCATTCGAGACACTATCTCCTTGGGCGGTTCTTCATCCTCCGGACTGATCATCAGACCCTGAGATGGATGAGAATACAGCCGGTACTCTCTGACGCTCTCAAGCGTTGGATCGAAGTTATTGAGCAATATGACTTTGACCCTCAGTATCTCAAAGGGGAGTACAACAAGGTTGTTGATGCCTTGACGTGCAGACTGGACTTTTCAGGTGCGCTGATTACTGAGTTTGATCTGACGGACAATGTTACTCAGTCTTTGGTGGAAGCCTATCGCAAGGACCAGTTTATGTTTGAGATCATACGTAGACTTGAGGCGAAGGACAAGAAGACCTCCGCGAAGTTTGAGTTGGTCACTGGCTTGCTGTTCCTAGAGAAGGCAGGGAATAAACGCTTGTGCGTTCCAAATAACGAGTCTTTGCGTAGTTTGTTTTTAGGCGAGTGTCATGATGCAACCGGCCATTTTGGGTACAAGAAGACCGCAGCCAACGTGCTGCAGCGGTTCTGGTGGCGCACGATGATGAAAGATGCACAATTGTACGTGGAAACTTGTCAAGTATGCCAGAGAGACAAGCCCCGTACTCAGGCTCCTCTTGGGCTGCTCAAGCCCCTTCTGATTCCGGAAAGGCCAGGTGAAAGTTTATCCATGGACTTCATGGATACGCTGGTCACCAGCAAGAATGGGATGAGACAGATCTTTGTCATCGTGGATAGGTTTAGTAAGTTTGCTAGATTAATAGCTATGCCAGAAACAGCAAAGACCGAATACGTGATCAGGCTATTTAAAGAAAACTGGGTTAGAGACTTTGGACTGCCGAAGTCTATAGTCAGTGACAGGGACGTCAGGTTCACGAGTGAATTATGGAAGGCC